AAGACAAAATGATAACGTAATAGTAGCATAACCTGAAATATAAGTTACACAAATGAGTATTTGATCGATTAAAATTCTGTAATTTTTATATGGAAAATTGAGCTAATTTTACAAAAGAAAACAACAACAATTCATATAAACTTTAACTTAATCAGTGTGATAAGATTATGTTGAATATCCAAGTAAATGAGATAATACAGATACGTAAGATCTATGGAATGATAACTTCTTCCACCTTGAAATCATACCTTCATAATAATATTGTTCAACTTTAACTTAATAATAAATTATATTTTTGGGTAAATTACAAGATTGACCACTTTCGTTTAAGTTTTGTAAACTTGTCCTCAATGAATTTAGAAAGCATAATATTTGGTCACTTTTGTTTTTATTTAAGTAAGATTTAGTCACTTCCGTTTTTATTTAATTAAGATGTAGTTACTGAGGGTTAACTACCATTATAACTTTAACGGATTGTTGATGCGACATAGTAAATTTATAAAATTAAACAGGGTAAACTACGCAAATGGTCGCTAATGTTTGAGTAAGTTTTCAATTTCCTCATTAAATTTCAAAAGTAAAAAATCGATCACTAAAACATCAAATATGTCATTGAGTATCTAATTTACCCCAAAAGCTTTCTAATTTTCCAATTTTTTTCCAATTTTTATATATATACTTTTTAAATTTTAAAAATAAAACTTAGAAATTAACTTTTTTTTTACATGAAGTAATCCAATATTTAGAATGATAAAAAAATTAGAAAGTTTTTGGAATAAATTAGATATAAAATCATTATTCAAGGACCAATTTGGTTTTTTAAACTTCAATGGGGAAAACAAAAACTTACTCAAACATTGGTGATCATTTGTGTAGTTTACCCTTTTTAATTTTATAAACACACTGTGCCACATCAGCATTCCGTTAAAGTTAATGACAGTTAACCATCAGTGATCATATCTTAATCAAATAAAACCAAAAGTGACCAAATCTTAATTAAATAAAAATAAAAGTGACTAAATATTATGTTTCCGGAATTCAGGGGGAAAATTTATAAAACTTAAACGAAGTGATCAATCTTGTAGTTTATCCTATATTTTTATTTAAAAAAAATATTTAAAGTCATTATATACTAATTATCTCAACCAACATACTTAAACATTATAACACAATTAATTAATTATTAGCAGAGTTTTAATTATTTACCATTTTATTATTAACATAAATTGATTTTAAATGTGTTCTAATAAAAAAGGGTAAATTATAAATTTTATCGATCAATTTTCTTCTTAATCCTATTTTGATCATTAAAGTGTAAAATGTTTCAATTTATTCTTTAAACTTTCGACTTGGTTACTCTAGTGTTAAATTATAAATGAAATACGGTGACATGACAGTCACATGCACTAATGTGGACTGTTTTTTATTGATATGAAATCTACGAGTCATCCGGACTGTTTTTTTAATTTAATCTTCTTTCAATAATTACTATTTGTATTATTGATAAAATGGCACAGTTTCATTATTATGTCACGTTGATGCTATAATTACTATTCTTCGGCATCTTCTCTGATTACTCAAGATATCGATAAATTCGTCTCATTGTCTCCTACCAACCTATCAATTTAGATTTTACCTAAATCACTTTAAAACTTATAGAACTCCATGTTAAGCTCAAAACTCATAAAACTACAAATCACTCTAATTTATAATATCCACCATTTGATCAATGTGAAATCAAAATATAAAACTCGTTTCCTCCTTATCCACCTACCTACCTTTGAAATTTGAAAGAATATGCTTTATGACCGAGAAATCAATTAGAATTCAAAATTAAGAGTTTTTTCATTAGAAAAATAGAAAACATTTTGGAGTCATTTCATTATTTATAAAAAGGCTTAAATATACAAAAGGTGCCCAACCTATGCCCATTTTTCCAGTTTACTGCCTAATATTTATTTCGTTCCAGTTTGATGCCTAACGTTTCATTCCGTGACTCAAAATGGGTCCAGCTGTGATCAATCGTTATGTATTTCCGTTAACACATTAAAAATGTCATCTTCTTCATTTTAATAGCATCTCTTCTTTCCATTTCTTCTTCATTTCTTCTTTCCATTCTTTCCCTCTTCTTCATTTGTTTGTTAATTTCATTGGCGGGATTCTAAGGTTTGATAATAAGTGGAATGAATTAGTTATGTGAGAACTAGGATGAGTTTGAAACAGTTGTAAAAGACAAGATTGAAGATTATCAACTCTTTTTTCTTTGGTTTCATTTCCTTATTTCTTTGCAACAATATTAAAAGCTGAAGAATAATTTCGTTGGCAAAAACCCAGAAGACGAAGAAGAAGAAATTTAGGAGAAATTGTGCATGGTTTTGAGTGTTGGGTCATCATTGTTGAGTTAAGATCAAAGGAGTGGAACAAAGGAAAAAAACCAATGGGTTCTTGAATTCAATTTAGGGTTCTTGGGTGGAGAAGCGAAAGAGAGGGAAATAAACGTTAGGCACCAAACTGGAACGAAATAATTTGTTATTTTTAAAAATTATTTTTTAATATTAAAAAATATGTCAGGTGACATTTTTAATAGGTTAACGGTCAAACTTAACAGTCCGTTGCGACTGGACCCATTTTGAGTCACAGAATGAAATGTTAGGCACAAAATTAGAACAAAATAAACGTTAGGCATTAAACTGAAAAACAGACATATGTTGGGCACCTTTTGTATATTTAAGCCTTATAAAAAATATTAAGTCATAATTTCGTTGACTTTTAAATTTTATGATATTAATATATTATGATACAAATTTTTTAAAAAAATATTAAGATTAAGATTTATAATATTATTATATTTTTTAAATTTTATGCTCTAAAATATTTATGATACAAATTTGGGGAGAGGATATTATGGTCAAACTCAGACCTTAAATCTTAAGGAACCAATACTAAATTTTAACCAGATCGTTGACTTTTGAATTTAGAAACAAGAATCAGCAATCGAAATCAATTACACGACAAGGTCATTAAAATTTAGGGTAAATTATACAAATGGTCCCCATACTAATAAATAAAACTTTCCATTTTTTTAAATTTTTTTCCAATTATATATATATATATAGTAAATTTTATTGGACATGAAGTAATATGATATTTCGAATGATAAAAAATTTAGAAAGCTTTTGGAATAAATTATATATAAAATCATTATTCAAGGACCAACTTGTTATTTTTGAAACTTCAATAAAAAATATGAAAACTTACCCAAACATTAATGATCATTTGTGTAGTTTATCCTTTTTAATTTTATATACTCACTATGCCATATCATTAATCATTGTTATGTTAAAGTTCTAATGACAGATAACCCTAAATGACTAAGTCTTAATTAAATAAAAATAAAAGTAACTAAATCTTAATTATTATTTAAATATGATTAAATCTTAATTAAATAAAAATAAAAGTGACTAAATATTATATTTTTTTAATTCATTGAAGAAAAAATTATAAAACTTAAATGAAAGTTATCAATCTCGTAGTTTATCCTATATTTTTCTTTAAAAATATTTTAAGTATTATTATATACTAATTATCTTAACCAACATACTTAAACATTATAATACAAGTAATTATTTATCGGCAGAGTTTTGATTATTTACCATTTTATTATTAACATAAATTGATTTTAAATGTGTTCTTATCAAAATGAGTAATCTTTCTTTTTACTCCTATTTTAGTCATTAAAATGTAAATGTCACTCGTGTTAAATAGTAAATGGAATGGTAACATGACAAACAAATGTTATGATGTGGACTTTTTTTTATTGACATGAAATTTATGCGTCATCCACGTTATTTTCCTCTTTTTTTATTTTATATTCTTCCTCCAATGATGAGAGTTTTACAGTTTAATTTTTGTGTCATGTTGGTGCTACAATTACTATTCTTTGACATCTTCTCTGATCACTCTTGATATCGACAAACTCGTCTTATTGTCTCCTACCAATATATCAATTTAGATTTCACCAAAATCACTTTAAAACTTATAGAACTCAACTTTAAATCCAAAAATCATAAAACCACAGATCACACTAATCTATAATATTCACCATTCGATCAATGTAAAATCAAGATATAAAGCTCGCTTCCTCCTTATCTACCTCCCCACTTTTGAAATTCGAAAGAAGATACATCATGACCGAAAAATCAATGAGAACTCAAAATTAAGAGTTTTTTCATTTTAAAAAATAGAAAACATTTTGGAATCATTTCATTATTTATAAAAAAATGGTTTTTTAATTTATTTATCATAATATATTAATATTATAAAATTTAAAAGTCAACGAAATTATGCTCTAAAATATTTATGATACAAATTTGGGGAGAGGATATTATGGTCAAACTCAAACCTTAAGGTACCAATACGAAGTTTTAACCAGATCGTTGACTTTTAAATTTAGAAACAAGAATCAGCAGTCGAAATCAAATACACGATTAGGGTAAATTATACAAATGGTCTCCATACTATAAAATATTGCTTTATTAAGTCTAGTGACTATTGAAAGTTACAAAAATATCCCCTGACTACAGTGTATTACTTTGTTGAGTTCATCGACTATTGAAAGTTACAAAATGATCACTTGACTATTCATTATGCTTCAAACTTTCCCTTTTGCATTAAAAAATTGACGGTCGTCTGAGCTGGACGTTAACATGATGATTGAGATATGATAATCATTCATATTTTATTGTATCGCAATCAGTATATTAACGCTTAACTAAAAATGCCATCAAATTTTTAACAGAAAATGACGAGTTTGGAATATAATGAATAGTCGGACGGTCATTTTGTAACTTTTAATAGTCGATGGACTCAACAAAGCAACACTCTATAGTCAGAGGACAATTTTGTAACTTTTAATAGCGACGGACTTAATAAAACAGTATCTTTTAGTTGGGGACCATTTATGTACTTTACCCTAAAACATAATTAAGTAGAAATTAACATTAAACCCTGCAGTTGTTACCCGACCAAAATCGGGACTGAAGTTGCCTAACCATATTCTTATCCAGCTGAAAGGCCTTGGCAACAGCATCAGGGTTGATGCCCGGGTCCGACCCGAACACTGCATTAGCAATGGTGATAACCCCCGGGTCTTGGCTACTCAGGGCAGCAAATGCAACAGCATTGCCACTCCCCACGTTCAACTGGAAGTGAATCATACCCACCGGAAACACGAACACGTCTCCGGGGTACAACACTTTGGCGAAGAGACGATTATCGGGGTTCGACGTGACAAACCCGGCGTAGAGTGTGCCTTCGACCACGACTAGGATCTCGCTGGCTCGGGGGTGAGTGTGAGGGGGGTTCAGGCCATGGTACGGCGCGTAGTCGATCCGAACAAGAGATATACCGAGAGTGTTGAGACCCGGAACAACGGCCGGAGTGACGGTTGATCCTACTTGGTTTGATGTGTTACCTGGAATGTTGAGGCCCGAGAAGAAGAAATCTTCGGGAGTTGCAAGCTTCGGGTCCTTGCACAACTTGCCGTTAACGAAAACTGCATAAATGGGATGAAATAAAACACTTTGATTTGCCATATTTCGAAATGAGAAGAGAGGGATTTACCACCATTCTTGGCGTCATTAATTGCCACACAAAAGTCCTGAAGAGGGCTGGGATCCGTGGCCGAGGCCAAACCCAACAGGATAAGTGCTCCAACCAAATAACCTCCTTCCATTCTTTTGAGTACCAATCTTGAAGTTGATGGTGGGATCAAAGCATATATATATATATATATATATATATATATATTTGTGTAAAACTAAAATTACTTTGCATTGTACAAGTAGATTATATGTGTATGTGGACATTGCTCCAATTCATCCTTTAAGAAAGCAAATGAATCTGTGTATATAATGATTACTGCATATTAGAGAAATCTGAATTCAATCATTCTTTAGCTGGTCGGTGCCTTTATCCTCCTGGAATTTTAATCATTTTCCTGCTTACCATCAGGCTATTTGCAATGGAACTGATCATTTTAAACATTTCACTTTATTGAGATTTTATAATATCTATTTTATTTTATAAAAATTAGGGTTTGGTATACAAATGGTCTCTTGATTGTAGGGTACTACTTATTAAGTCTCTCGACTATTAAAAGTTACAAAGTGATCACCTGACTATTTATATGTTCCAGACTCATCATTTTCTGTTTAAAAAAATTGACGCTATTCTCAGCTGAACATTAACCTACTAACTGTGGTATGATAAAATTTGATCACAGAATCTCAAACGATTGTTATATCTCAATCATCATGTTAATATCCAACTTAGACAACATCCAATTTTTTTAACGAAAAGCGACGAGTTTGGAACATATTGAATAGTCAAGTGATCATTTTGTAATTTTTAATAGTCGAAGGACTTAATAAAATAACATTCTATAGTTAGAGGACTATTAAAGCAATATCCTATAATCAGGAGACCATTTGTGTACTTTGCCCTAAAAATTAATATAATTAAAAAATTATCTAAGATTTTGAGACATATTAGACGTGTCAATTTTTATTTTTGTTTAAATTTGGGTACTAAAATATGAGATAAGTCACATTTTAGACCTTGAACTTTTACATTTTTCTCATATTGATACCTGTTTTTTTTTTATTTTATTTAATTCCTATGATATTTGGTACGTAATTTCCTTGTTAATCCACATTCAAATATAAAACATAAGGGTCCGTTTGGTTCTATAAAATATTTTTTTATTTTCATTTTCTATTCTTTTCAGAAAATAGTTTTCATTTTCAATTTTTAGAAAATTATAAAACATATTTGGTTAAATATAAATAAAAACTTGAATTCAAAACTAAAATAGTAAAAATGTATGTGGTATCTAATTTTTTTAAATAGAAATAAACAAAAAGTTATTAAATAATTAAATTAAACTATAATTATTAAAAAATTCATTACATAAATTTAACATGTGAGTTATGTGAATATAAAGCAATAGAATTGATAAGAAATTCCATAACACAAAATTTATTTTAGTTTATAATAAGAAATATGATATTAGTGCATATTGGTAATTAATTAAATTTAAAAATACAAAAAATATTGTTATAAGCAAAAGCACACAAAACTATCATTAACATAAAAAAAATATGTTTAGTGGTGATTGAGACCATCAAACGTTTGAGAAAACAATAATTATTGTAGTCCCTAAACATTTTTTGTACCAAATATGATCCTTAAACTTAGAAAAAAAAATTAATCTAACCCTTTAAATAGCAAAATCAAACGTTGACTGTCACGATGGTTATATGACAGTTCACAAACTTTTATGACAATCTACAATATTAATGTGATAGTTCACAATACTGTTGTGATAGTTCACAATACTGTTGTGATAGTACTCAATAGAGGATGATATAGTAGTTGGACTTAATTGATTATTTTAGAAAGTTTGAGAAATTATTTAATTTTTAAAAAAATAAAAAATATTTAGATAAAAAAATATAAACAATTATTAAGACATTCAATACATTAAATATAAAAATACTATAAAATTAAACTATTAAAAATAATTTAAGGACTACATTGTGTGTAAAAAAAAGTTTAAGGACCATATTGATTTTTTAAAGAGTTTGGGGGTTTCAAATATCATTAAATCAAAAAAAATATTGTTAGAATGACTTAAACTTGTGAAGTTAAAATTATAGATATCATATTTCCTTATTTTTCAAATTTTCAAAACAATTTTAATGAAATTACTGAAAACATCTTTTTTATATTTATATTTTTTACTTATTTATATTTTCATTTTCCAAAAATCATTTTCAAATGAGAAAATAACCTCAGTGACCAAAAATCCCATATAATATACGATTTTAACCAACTTTTTCCGGATTTGCCAAAATGACCAACAAAATCGCAATGCGATCGCTAATTCGCAACGCGATCTCCATTATCGCAAATTCGCGTTGCATTTTCGCAATGCGATAGTTGAAAATCGCATTGCGATGGTCTACAGTATCGTTGCGATTTTCCCAATTCGCAATGCGAATAAGTAAATCGCAACGCGAATTGGGAAATTCGCAATGCGAATAAGTAAATCGCAACGCGAATTGGGAAAATCGCAATGCGATACTGACTATCGCAATGCGATAATAAAAAATCGCAACGAGATACTTACTTTCGCAACGCGATACTGACTTTCGCAACGCGATAATACATAATCGCAATGCGATTTTCAAAGCGCCATTAGTATCCTGGCCAAGTATTTTATTTTTAAATTCCAAACATGAATATAAATATATTGGAACACTGAACTGTCCACAGTATATCCCGTAATCGCAACTCATAACCTAAAACCTAAAATCACAACTCAGTCCCATCTCCATCTCTCACTCTCTCACCCATCTCCGACGAAATCCGTCCCCATCTCCGGCGAAATCCGTCTATCTAAATCTCTCAGAGCCACCCTCACAATCAGAAATGGAAAATCAACCAAATCAACCAACGAGGGTTAGTTTTTTTAATTATTTTCTTTTTGAAATTTTTGCATTATTATTAGGTTTTTCATATTGAAATTGATGATAGGTTTACTGGTAATTTCAATAATAGATTAACCATTTCACTTAGATTGCTTATTAAATCAACCAAGAATCGCAACGCGAAATGCAAATCGCAACGCGATTTTAGTTTCGCGTTGCGATTCTCTCGTTGCGATAGTCATTTTCGTGTTGCGATTTTCATTTTCAGAAACTATTCTTCTTCTGCAAATTGAAACTTGAATGAATTGCATTACTTCAACCAAAAACAAAGACAAATACGAAATTCACAGTGTTGCATATTTAAGTTTGAAGAATAAACTACTACTATTTATGTTTATTAATGTTTTGGTATATCTTCACAGTGTAGTTTTTGGTATATCTAATTTAGTATGTTTATTGTTTTTGTAGAACTTTTATTCGGCTCAATTGACCTTGAGAAATAAAGTCAGCCTGGCCAAAACAATTGCGTCGAAGCTTTCACCTGCACAAAGAAAATGTTTGAGGATACATGCTTCGGGCCATGGCTGAAAGTACAACATCCCGGTGGAGATGCGATGTTGACACACCTGTTTCTTCAAACCATGACTAGAGATCTACCAGAGACTATACAACGTCGTGATGAAGAGATATGGTTTGATTTTCCACCGGCGTATACGTGTTTTGGGCGGGAGGAGTTTTGCTTAATCACCGGTCTACGCTTCGGACACGATGATATAGGTCGGTACACTAGACACATTACCCGCCCATCATGGCTATCCCGGGTTTTTCCTGAGCTGGAGAGGCCGAGTCTACACGTAGAAGACCTGACAAGATTTTTGAATAATAAAGATGGTTTTACTCGGATGGATGACGTCGACGTTGTCCGAGTATGCCTTCTAATTCTTTTGCATGCCGGCTTTTTAGGCAGAGAGGCCAGACAACCTATTCCAAATGATCTAATCAAATTGGTAGAAGACCTAAATGCGTGGAACCTGTTTCCGTGGGGCTCGTATTTATGGAAAGCTACATGGAATAAGTTATCGTCTGCCTTGGATGATCGAAAAAGTTTGCATGGCGATGGTTCCAAATACACTTTGATAGGCTTTATTTGGGCCTTTAAGGTAAGAATTTTTATATAATGTTTCCAAAATTATAAGTAATTATTTAACAATTACTAATGTTTGTTATTATATTGTTTGTAGATTTGGATATTTGAGGCCTTTCCCGCCATGAAGACATATGCAATAAAAACTTCAAATAATATTCCCAGGGCTATTTCCTGGAAGAGGAAACGAACCTTGCAATGGGAAGATTTACTACGGTATACGACAATAAATAATGTAAGTTAACATAAATACTACCATATGTTTATAAACAAGTTATTACTAGTACACATTTAACTTTGTTTAAGCTTTTATATTGTTAGGAGGCCAACACTCCTCTACAGAGGCTGACACCCACGGAAGCTGAGCTTGCCACTGATTGGTGGCAAGCTAGTAAGCGTTTTTTTGATGGAACGGTTGATGAGCATCCTCCACTTCGGGAGCCATCACCTCGCCCAGAGCTATCACCTCACCTAGAGCCATCATCTGATCAACCCGGCTATACACCTCCACAACGACAGCCATCACCTATTCTTTCACATCATCGAGCCTCTTCTCCACCATCACCGCAAGATAGGCGACCGGCAAAGATGTCACGACGTTTATCTCCCTGTTCTCCACCTCCACCTCAACGGGATGAGTTAGGGGAGTTACGTGATGAGGTCAATGCCTTGCGTGAGGAGGTCGGTACTTTACGCAAAGACGATGGTGCATGGCGTGTTGAGGTGTCTACATTACGCGGTGAGGTAGCCGCTCTACGTGAGATGGTAGCATCGTTGTAGAATGAGGTTCATACTCTACGCAACGAGGTAAGTTTAAGATTTTTCATACTCGTAATTCATTCGGTTGCTGCCAATCTGTTTTTGTTAGTATTTGTTTTTGGTTTTGTTTTTGTCTTTTGGTTGAAGTAATGCAATCCATTCAAGTTTCAATTTGCAGAAGAAGAATAGTTTACTTTCGCAACACGAAAATGACTATCGCAACGCGGAAATGGCTATCGCAATGCGAAATGAAAATCGCAACGACAAAATCGCAACGCGAAATGAAATCGCAACGCGAAAAGAAAATCGCAATGCGATTTGTGTTTCGCGTTGCGATTT